TATATCAACTTTAGCTCCAGGGGTGTATATATCAGGCTTTTGCTCTTTCTCATAATGGGAACCAAATCCCACTGGAAATGTCTGTTCATGTTATCACAGTCATAACTCCCATCTGTAGCTCTAGGAGCTCCTGGTAGCCTCTGGAACAAATGAGCTTTAAAGTTCAAGAACCACATAACTGTGTAGTTTATTCTACAAGAATCTCAACTTGCTCAAAAGATTTTTGTTTTGTTTTGTTGGTACTGGGAATCAAACTCAGGACTTTACACTTGCCAGGCAGGTACCTTAGCCACTGAGCTATATCCCCAGACCACTCAAAAGACTTTTCAGCTTTTTAGTCCCAACACAATATGGCATCCTCCTTTTTATTAAATTATACAAAAGGCTGACAGTTTAAGCAAGGTTAGCAGTTTAAGGAAGATCAAATGTATAAATATACCAATAGGGGCTGGGAAGATAGCTCAGCGGTCTAAGCACCTGCCTCGCAAGCACAAGTACCCTGGTTCAGTCCGCAGTACTGCATGCTGTGCTGGTCCAGAACCCCAGGTGGCCAGTGGCTGGATATGGTGGCACACACCTGTGATTCCAGTGCTGGGGAGGCTGAGACAGGAGTATTGTTATGAGTCCAAGCTGCATATCGAGACCCTATACCAAATAAATAAATAAAATATTTTTAAAAAATGTACCAATAGCTCAAGAATCCTCGAAATAGTCGAAATTGTTTTGTATTTATTGGAATGGGCTGCTGCAGCAAACCTTTTTAGGTGTCATGTATCTGTTACCCAACATTAGATAAATTCCCAAACATTTTACAGCTCGGCCCTTGCACTTCATGGGGACTGATTTTCCATTATGTTGGAAAATCAGACCTACAGACCTAGTCAAGGTAGGAGTTGGGAAGCTCTCAGATAAGGGAAGCTGGAATTCAGGGTACGTTAAGGCAAGTAGGGAGACATAAGCAAGGGAGATGTAGGCTCAGAGAGCAGGTCACAAATAGCATCACCAGGAGGGAATAAAAGAAACTGGGAATCCTCCGACTTTGCAAGTACAGCCCTTTCCACAAGAGCCATTGCCATTGGATAAACCTACATATTTCACAAAGGTCTGGTTTATCCCTAAGAACAAAGATGCCCGGATGTAGAGCACTTATGACCAGTTCCCTGTGTTGTTGTTTTTTTTTTTTAAGGAAAAAAAAAAATCCCAAAACTGCAGAACAGTATTATAGTTCAAACTTCTATTTTTCTGACAAGAATTTTGATCACTTAGTTCATACTGAAGCCAGGCAGCCTTGCAAAAAGAAAATAAGCTTCTTTTTTTCTCTGTTCTTTTAGGATTTGAGGGTCAAATGTGTCCGATTTGTCAGGGATGTTTCCAAGGGTCCCCTTGGAAGGAAGAGGGGGCAAGAGCCTGGGAATTGCCATCAGAAAGACAGAGACCATGTCCTAATCGAGCTATGCTGACAACAAAGACCAGACACATTTGTATCTTTCCACAAAGTTAGAATTTATTGAATAAATTCATTAGTTACATCGACTTCATCAGCCTTATCAGACCAAGTATTCATTGTCCACTCAATAGCCAACAAGTGGGCAAGCCCAGGTTCTTTTATTCCAGTCTTAATTTTAATATCTGCATTATTCAGGTCATACATCACATTTCACACACTAATCTATAGGTCTAAGACAGGATTAATGGTGGCTCAGGAAGTAGAAGAAAGAACTAGAATTTATAATCTTCCTGCCTCAGCCTCCCAGCGTTTTGGGATTATAGATGCACACCACCACACCCAGCATACTTATTTCTGATTTAGCAAATTTATTTTCAAAAGTGAAAAAGTTTACCACAATACTTGAGCGGTTTAGTTGTTTAAATATCGTGAGAAAAAAATTGTTTTTAGCTCACAGTCATATTTACACTAATGCTTGGAAGGGGGACCCTCTAGCCCATGAAAGTTCTGTGTTCTCCCCAGGCCTCAAGTCACACTTGTCTTCTTGGTTTCAGAGTATAGGACAAAATTTATTACCCTCCTTGCTGACTGACTTTGTGTTGTATCTCCTGACGAAACTCTCAACATCTGACCAACAAACTACAACCAAAGCAGCCTCCATCCTGAAACTGACGCTGAAATACCATGCCCAGAAGGTCACCAGGGTAAGGTGCTTGACAAAGTATCTGACATTTCCAGAGTGCATCTCTATTGTAAGCATTTTTGCTTTCCCCTCCCCTCCCCATCTTCCCCTCCCTCTCCTCACAGGTCCTCTTCCCAGCTCCACAAAACACACCTCCCTGTCTTCTACCCTCTTTTTTATTTTGCTCTTAAATCGTTTATATTCTGGGTTTCTCATACAGGAGAAACAATGCGATATTTAACCTTTCATTCTTTTTATTTATTTAGTGTGTGTGTGTGTGTGTGTGTGTGTGTGTGTGGCCAGCTCAGCCCACCAGGGGGCGGGGCTGGCTGGCATGTGGTGCTGGGGGATTGAACTGCGGTCCCTGTGCTTTGCTAAGCTTGTTCTAAGTAGGTGCTTTAGACCATTGAGCCATCTCACCAGCCCCTAACCTTTCATTCTTGCTTATTTCACTTAAGATTATGATCTTGGGATGTATTCATTGTCCTAAAATGACTCAAATGTGCCCTTCCTGTGGCTGAGTAGTACACCATAGGAAATGTATACCACGTTTCTTTATCCGTTCATCTGTTGACAGCACACAGGCCACTTTGAAAATTTAGCTGCAGTGTAGGTCTGACTTTGCTATATGTCTATTTCTTTTCATATACATTTCTTACTCATTATCTCACTAATAAAATTAGGTTTTTTTGTGAAACATTTCAAGCACGTAGGAAATTCTAGAGAGTACTTTCATGAATATTCACCTGCCAATCATACTAAATTATAATATTTTACTATATTTGTTTTAGTTTGTTTTCAAATAAATGTGTTAACAACAGTAACACAGCAGCCACTGTTTAAACCTCTTGGGTAGCTCTTGAATTTGAAGGACCTTCACCCTGACACAGGGTGACTCATTTGTGGGCTCAGGACAGAATGAAATATGGGACTGTGCCTTCGTAATGTAGGCAGAATGTCATGAAGTGGCTGCACCTATGAAGTTTTCTTTCTCTCAGAGTCTCAAGACATGATGGAGTTCTTATTTTCCATTTAATGTCTTTGTAAGTAAAAAAAAAATTAAAATTTTAAAGTATTATTATTAGTATTATGATTTGCTATCCATACTATAGTGTTTAGTGCTAGTTATCAAGTGCAAATGCGAGAGCATTTAGCTGGTGTGGTGTTGCACACTGGTAATCCCGGGGCTTTACGTGGTGGAGGTGAGAGGGCTGCAAATCTGAGCTCAGCCAGGACCACTTAGAGGTTGAGTGAGACACTTTCTCAGACTGAAAAGGTAAGAAGGGCGCTCATTCCAGCAGCACATATATAAAACTGGAACAATAGAGACGATTAGCCTGGCTCCCGCGCAGGGATGACACACAAACTGTTAAGCATTCCATATTTTTCCACAAACACAAACCAGTAATAGCAACAGTAATAGTAATAGCAATAATAATGATGATGAAAGGGGGAAGGGGAGAAACAGGGAAACAAAGAATCAAGATATATTAAGTACCTGTATTTACTACTGAGATAAGTATAAATACCATATATGGCAAACATGTACTAATAAAAAAATTTTAAAGAACATTGACATTAAAAGCATAAAAAGATAAACAAAAAGAGCTGGTGGTGTAGCTCCATGCAGAGGCCCTGGGTTCAATCCCAGGTATAAATAAATAAGTGCATTTAACTCATGTGTACAATCACTAAACTAAGGCAATTTGTATTTCACACATGTATATGGATTTCATTTTTTCCAGAAGCAGAAAAGTTGAAACACTACCCAAAACTAACTTAGTCTGCCAGGAGTAGTGGCACAGTCCTCTAATCTCAGCACTAGGGAGGCTGAGACAGGAGGATCACCAGAAATTTGAGGCCAGCCTATGTTACATCATGCGTTCAAGGCCAGCCTAAACTACATAGTGAAATTCTGTAAAGTGACTCAGTTGTTTTTATTTCCCTTCTTGTCATTCAGATATTCTGTTAAAATGGCTTACCTTTGTCTCAGTTACTCTTCTCTCGTTGCTGGGACAAATACCCTACACTCAAAATGAAGGAAGAAAGGTTTATTTATTTTTTTAAGTTTATTTATTTATTTATTGTGTGTGGGGGGGTGGGTGTGGCCAGCTCAGCCCACCTGGGGGCGGGGCTGGCTGGCATGTGGTGCTGGGGGATCGAACCACAGTCCCTGTGCTTTAGCTAAACTTGTTCTAAGTAGGTGCTTTAGACCACTGAGCCATCTCACCAGCCCGGAAAGGTTTATTTAACTCACAGTTTATGGAGGTTTCATTTCGTACTCCATGGCTCCAACGCAAATGACAGCGGTACACGGCAGTAGAAAATAATGAAAAGCAGAAGAGGAGCAACAGCTCCAGCCACCACCGCGTGTAGCCCCTCCGAAGTCTGGGACTCCTCCAAGGAAGCGGGCAGGGCCAGGCCCAGGAAGCCTTCCTCAATTCCCTTATATACACTTTTTGTGCTGAGTCACCCTGGGGTGGCCCATGGCTCTAGGGATGAACCAGTCGCACCCCAGGGCCGGCCCAATAGTGCCCCAGGTTGGGCCCTGCGCATCTGCAGAGCTGGGCCCGCACATCCAGACGGCCAGTTCAGCCAAGTTGACACAATGTATCAACTACCGCAATCTTCAAGCTCACTGATGTTAGAAAAGACTGAAAAGTACTTAAGGGTTTCCGTTTGTGTTGTCATAAGAGAGTATCGGAGACCCGGTAACTGTAATGAACAGAGATTGATGTGTTGGCAGTGCTGGAAGCTGGGAAGTCCGCGTCGCGAGGCAGCATCTCGTGTAGAAGGCGGAAGGGCAGAGCACATGCTCCTTGCATCAGGAACCTCCTCCCCCAGCAACTAACCTACTCCTGTGATAACCACACTAAGCCATGCATGAGGCCAGACCCTGCACCCAGTCACCTCTGCAAGGTGTCCCCTCGCAACACTTGTTTTGTGGATGAAGTTCCCGGTGCTTGAGATCTGGAGGGCACGTTCAGTCCGTAGCGTTCTGTCTTTCTCCGGCCTTCTGCGCCATCCTTGGTTCAGCTAAGCGGCTGCAGTTCGTGGAAGAGCTCCGTGCTCTACTCATGGACTTCCAGGCACTGGAGGCCCACAAGAGCCCCAAAAGTCTCCACTATTGCAGAGTCTTCTGTGCTCCACTGTCCCGTGGGCTTAGTTTATAAAACACGAACCCCAAGGGAAAATTATTTAAAAATGTCAAGATGGCAATAACAGAGTTCTAAACAAAATACGGGGTTGTCTGTCCACGAGCCCTGTGCATCCATCGTACAAGCCCAGGAGCACGGCCCGTGGGGACAGGAGGCTGACCTCCCAACACCCTCTCCTGAGCCCGCAGTGCAAAGTAACTGAAAGCAAGCGGAATGCCTGTTCGCACGCTCAGGGAGGCAGGAACGTGGGGGGAGCCTGGAGAACAGCCGGAGCAGCTACAGGCAGGCACAGTCTTCAGAGCCGAGTCGCAGAGGCCTTCTTCGGAACAACACGGAGCTCTCCATAGGAGCCAGAGGAGCACTCAGAGAGGCTGCAGGAAACCACTGCACGCTTGGGTAGAGGAAGCCACTAGAAAACTGGATGTGTAGAACTAGCCTTTGGTATAGTAAATCTGCAGAAACTGAATACAAATAGGGTTCATCAACTTAAATGATCACCCCAGCTCTCACAGAAGGCTGAACTACTTACTGGAGAAGATAGGTTCCTAAAGGGAGTTAGAGTCTAAAGTCGGCTATACGGAAAAATTGTGTATGGTTAAAAATAGTCCTGAACATCTACTTTTACAAATAATATATGTATATACAAAGGCTTACAATCTTTAAATAAAGCTACTGAGGCAGGAGGATTGTTGTGAGTTCCAGACCAGCCTGCGCTACAAAGTGAACTCAAGGCCAGCCTGAGCTGCATAGTGAGAGCCCCTCTCAAAAAGACAAAACTAAGTAAATAAACAAATCTAGCACCCTAAGTCTTCCTTGGGCAACTAAAAACAGATCACCCTTCGTGTAGTTGAGCAGCCAGTGGCAGCTTGTGGAAAGAGTTCCTGCGCCGAAAGTAGGAGGGCAACAAGGACAGGAAGCAACTGGGAGCCCTAGAAGTGAAGAGGTCCTCGGCGCAGAGTCATGGCCTATTGTCACCTCATGCTCAGCTGGAGGTACATGTGTCCCAGGTGTATCCTGTGATCTCTCACACTTCATTTATTTTTTCTTTTGCTTTATTAATGTAAGACCAACTCCAAGCCTGGGTAGAATGCTCCTCGTTCAAGATTAATTGTAGGGTCGGCCAGATACTCAACGTTTTAAAGCACCTGTTTAGGCAGGCTCGGGAACTGGGGTTCTATCCCCAGGGTGCCCTGCTGGCCCTGCCCCTAGGGCATGGTGTGCTGAGACAGCAATTGAGACTGGGTAGGTGGTGCATGTCTGTAATCCCAGCACTTGGGAGGCTGAAAACAGGAGGATCACTATGAGTCTGAGCTGTGTAGTGAAACCCTATAGACCCTGTACTAAATACATTAAAAAAAAAAATAAGAGTAAGTAAAAAGGAAAAAAAAAAACCAAAACTAGTGGCGGACTTATGAGTAGAGAGAATGCAAGATTACAATTCAGAGGTTGAACATTTTACCTTTCGCTTATTCTCCCGTCCCCCGCTCACATGCATTCAGATGGCCATCACTTTTCACAAAGTTGTTCTGCAGTAAGTTCTTCCACTGTTATTCTACTCAACTGTTTTGACTTTCCTTTTTAAGGATTTGAGCTGGGTGTACATTTTCTATTACTAATCTTGTCTAATGAAGTCTAGCCTCCCCAAATAAATATTTAATAGGTATCTTCCTGATATCCATAAATACAATTTGATTCTTCCTTTAAATAAATATTTTGCATTGTGTAAATGTAATCCCTGCTTGTCCTTGCTTGTGTATTAATTGCTTCTGTGTGAGGAGAGACTGGACTGTCATGCTCAAACAATATCTTGCTGTCAGAGTGACCATGAAACAGGAGACTTGCTGACCTATAAAATTTCTCTTTCAGGTGTCTCAGATGGTGGACACTATTTATAAGCAATTGAATGAAAATCCTTCTTACTTTATAAAGGATGTCTTGCTGGAGGTTGTCACCTTGTTGACACAAACATCGCCCAAAAGCGTCGTCTTTCAGCTCTTGGAATACCCAGTCCCAGCAGACAAGTATGGTCTCTCCTCGCCCCTCCTCCTGTTTGTTCACCAGCTCACAGGCACACGGACATGGGCTCAAGTCTTGGGCTGTCATTTCCAGGCCGTGTGTCTTTTTTGAGACCTGTTTTTGTGCCATATAGGTGATTGTAAGGCTTAGATACTGATAGAGGGGAAATGGTAGATGACAAATGCACCAAGTTCCTGAGAAAAGTAGGAGTGTGGCTTCCTCCTCTTTGCTCTGTCCTTCCTCCTCCAATCTTCCCCCAGGTCGAAGGATGAACTCTAAGGAGCAATGGAGGCTAGGAGTAGGAAACTGAGCCAATTTATTGAAGAAAAAGAATGAGGAATAGGAATATCCCCTGAGAGACAGAAGGGGTCCTGAATGGGTCTTCAACGAGCCCATTCCTCAAAGGAAGTTTCAGAGAGCAAAATCATGGGGTGGGTACAACATGGGTCAAAATTATGATCAACTAATAAGATTGCCAAAAAAAAAAGTAAGATTGCAAGTAGACGCTCAGGTAATATTAATCCAATTGCAGCAAGGGCATATAGGTGACATCATTAGCCTTGTTAACCTAGCTTTAGTCTTATCTTTAATTGTATGGTTGGTGTTTTGGGGGTTTTTTGATAGTGGGAATTGAACTCAGGACCTTGCACTTGCCAGGTAGGCACTTGTGCCACTGAGCTATATCCCCAACCATTGTCTTAATTTTAGTGGTTTAGTCTTAGCGGATGGGAGAAGATGGCCCATCCCTAATGGATAATGGGAAATCTCAAAAGGTTGAAAACAATAATCCCAAACTCCTATTTATCCCTTAGGGAAGTATGTAAATCTAGCCATTATGACTTTTTTTTTTTTTTTTGAGACAGGGTCTTACTATGCAATTCAGGCTGGCCTTGAGCTCACTTTGTAGCCAGGCTGGTCTCAAACTGTCACCAATCCTCCTGCCTCAGTCTACTGAGTACTGGGCTTACAAGTGTGTGCCACCACCCCTGGCTTGTCACTTTAATCTTCTTGGGGAGCACCTCCACCCACTGTTTCCATGTGTTCTCATCTTCTGCACAGATGCCCAAGAGCCCAGCCCTGTCTGACTGCCTATAATATTTCTACCTGACTTAACTGCCTATAATAATATGATCATAAATGCTATTCATAACTATGACGAATAGCTGGCACACAGTGGGGCCACAAGAAATTATTGATGTCATCTTTATTTAGCTATCGATTATGTTCTGTTGCATATCTTTCGGGCACAAACCTGTACTCAAAGTGATAATAGATGTTTCTTGCCATTTGGAAAATTTACTCTTTTTTTTCTGAAGGGAAAAAAAAAATCCACAGTTATTTTTCTTGTTTATGAAGTACATAAAATATCCCTACCCACCAATAAAAAATAAGACATTAAAAGTTGCCAAAATAGGGCTGGTGAGATGGCTCAGTGGTCTAAAGCACCTACTTAGAACAAGCTTAGCAAAGCACAGGGACCAGGATTCAATCCCCCAGCACCACATGCCAGCCAGCCCCGCCCCCTGGTGGGCTGAGCTGGCCACACACACACACACACAAATAAATAAATATTTTTTTTAAAAATTGCCAAAATATAATTGGAAGTCTCCAGCCTCTTGACTGTTAATCTGAAATTCATGATCCAGGATCACAAGATATATTGTAGAAAACAATGCTAATGCGAGCCTGTGGGACAGTATGATTCAGTACATTAGAACTGTGCAAACCTCATCCCTCTACTTCTGCCTCGGACATGGGGAAGATATGACTTCCTATTGCAGTAGTGCTTGCTACAAGACAGCCAGCATTCAGAAAGGAGGTCAAGCAAGGGTGGTGGTGCACGCCTGTAATTCCAGCACTTGGGCGGCTGAGCAGGAGGATCACTACACAAACTCCAAGCCAGCCTGGGCTACACAGTGAGTTCAAGGCCAACCTGAGCTACATACAAGACTCTGTCTCGAAAAACAGACAGAAGAGAGACATGACAGGAAGGGAATTAGGTTTTATTCCAAATGGCCAGGCTCTTATTCTAAGGATAATCATTTCAAAATGGGTCCATTTTGTACAAAAGGGTCTGTCTAGGCAGGAGAGCAGGGCAGTAGGCTGTGTGCTGAGTCAGTTAATCATCTAACCTCTGGATAGCCATCTTTGTCAGTTAGGGGGATGTTTTTCTTTCTTTTAGTTAGAAAATTCCTATGATTACAAGTGACTTCCTCTTCTGGGCAAATTCTGTAATCCTTTAGATTAACACCTCATTCTTATGCAAATTATGCATTATTCTTCTTTTGATTAGAAAATAGGATAAGAGCCCTTAGAACCCTCATTTTGATGTTTGAAAATCACCAAGGGGCCAGGGAGATAGCTCAGCAAGCTTAAGCCTGTGCCTGGCAAGCACAAGGTCCAGAGTTCAAATTTCTAGTAATCCCCAGGAAGTGGGGAGAGGATGTGGGGAAGGATGAGAAGGATGAGGAATTCTCTGGATTGGAACAAAGGGCAGCTGAGGCTTTTATGGTCTTTTTTCAGAGGTGGAGTTTGGAAGGGATGTTTAGATATATCTGAGGGAGCTGGTTGGGGTCTTCCCTGAGGTGGCGGGAAGGGAAGGAAATTGTGTCCTGGGCTGAGTTGGAGAAGAAGGAGGGAGGTGGTCTTGGGGAAGGTGGGTTTTGTTTTAAGGGCTTCAGCCATATTAGATGACCACCATGATGATTTTAGCAATTCATACTAGGGCCAGAAACTGTCATCTGTATTGTCTTTGCTCTATAAAGATGTGATCCATGTCACTATGTCTAGTGGTGAATGGCCAGCATAGGATCTGCCCACGTTCATAGCCCTTTGTGTTCACAGGGCTGTGATGCTGATGTGGCAGGCAGTGGGCACCAAGCCACAAGCTGCCTCTCAAGTGCTGAAGGTGATCCTCTTGGTGTTGAAGGACAAGCCTTGTGAAGTGGAGGACAACCTGCAGGAAGAGAAATGCTTCATTCTGGATACCAGCAACATGATGCCTCTGGCGGTGATGACCACGATGAGTGTTTCTTCCCAGTGTCATTCTCCTCCCCTTTACCAGTCCTGTCTAGGGACTCAGGAGATGGCTCAGTAGAATAAATGCTTGCCTGGCAAGTGCAAGGGCCTGAGTTCAATGCCTGGTTCCACCACAAAAAAAAAGAAGAAGAAGAAGCAGCCAATCCTATCTGCATAGACTTGATCCTTCAACATAGTTTGTCCTCTTCTGTCCACTGGCCTGATACACATTTGTTGTGTGCCACATCCTGACCATGGGGCTTACATTCTAAGACATGGAGACAGGAAAGACATATGTGTCAGATGTCCAAAGAAATCTAGAACAGGGTTGGGGGAAAGGAAGTGACAGTGACGGTATAGGTGACTTGGTCAGGTCCAGCCTCCCTGCTGGTGGGACATTTAATCGTACACCTTCATCAGATGAGCGTAATCCTTGCACATACCCAAAAGGGACAGGAAGGAGGCCAAAAGCCCCATAGAAATGGAAGTCAGTGAATGGTGAGGCCTACAGAATTAGAGAGAGATGGGCAGTTCTGTGGAGTGTGAAAGCCTAATTTCACTTTTGCCCACCATTATGTATCTCCCAGAGACCCAAATAGTCATGCCTTGGGGTAAATTCAGGTCTTACAGAGATATAATAAAATGACCTAATGTGGTGACACACACATTTAATCTTGCGCTCAGGAGGCTGATGCACGAGTATTGGTGAGAGTTGGAGGCCAGCCTGGGCTATGAAGCAAGACCCTGTCTTAGAAAAACAAAATAAGGGGCTGGTGAGATGGCTCAATGGTCTAAAGCACCTACTTAGAACAAGCTTAGCAAAGCACAGGGACTGCAGTTCAATCCCCCAGCACCACAAGCCAGCCAGCCCTGCTCCCCGGGTGGGCTGAGTTGGACACAAAAATAAATAAATAAATAAATAAATAAAATTTTAAAAAATAAATAAAAGGAAAAATACACCAAGTGATCTAAGGACAGCCTGGTCACCTCCCCTTACCTGTCCCACTTCCCTGCTCAGTCTTCATGGCCACATATGAAGGGGAACTGGGGATATCCTCTTGGGGACCAGCTTGCTTCCCACTGGCTTGGGAGCCAGGGACATTTAGTTGTGTTCTCAGACCCCTGACCTGCGAATGCGTGGCACAGCTCCAGTGCACAGCTGACTTAGTAGCTGCTCCTGAACGAGAGGATACGCAGACATGCTTCATGCTTCCTTCAGGGAGGCTGAGGAAGATTACAGAGTCCTGCCCTTCCTCTCCTTGGTAAGAGTGGGGTTACAGGGACAAGTTTCCCTTTTCAATTCCCTTTTCCTTCCTTTGCAGGCATCCCAGGCCCTGTGTCTGCTTTTGCCTATAAATTCCTACAAGAAAACAGTGGCCCAGTTTTTTGCGGAGCTCTTCATGGCCCTCATGTTTCAACTACTCTACATCAGTCAGCTGAGAGTGCAGCCAAAGAACAGGCTCCTGTGAGAACGCTGGTCACTTCAGGTCCAATCCGAGATGAGCCACTCCCTTGTGTGCATGTGGGGTTTGTGCAACCCTGGGTGTGGCACATTCAAATGTGACAGTGTTCTCTCCTCGGAAGGGCAGATGTGTTCAGTCAAATAACCTTCTGAAGGCCTGGACGTCACATAGCCTGCCCCCTGCATGTGTGCACAGCATAGAAAGAACCACAACCACAAAACACTGCTCATTCTTGCTGCGCTCCTTGTCGGATCTGTATGAGGAGCATTAGGTCACAAGTCATACGCATTCTCTGATGGTAACCGCTCAAGGTTATCATACATATACAAGAAAACAAGGTGCACAAATGTGCATCGTGAACTGAAAAGCTGTTCTGTGGTTGAGAATGGGATGGGTGAGATTACCAATGAATCCCCTGTCCTCATAGGGAAAATTCAGGATTCTTTTTTTGCCCAAGAGAGCTCAGCTTGGTTCTGCAAAATAAATAAATAAATAAATAAATAAATAAATAAATAAATAGGGGGGCTAGGGAGGTAGCTCAGCAGAATATGCGCTTGCTTGGCAAGAGCAAGGGCCTGAGTTCAATCCTGGTTTCCACCAAAAAAAAAAAAAAAAAAAAAAAAAGCGAGCTCAGCTGCTTGTGCTGCCCTCCAGTGGACTCTCAGTGCAACTGTAAGCCAGTTGCCGGGCAGAGCTCTGAACCAGTTTCATTAATATACATAATCCACTCCCACTCACTCTACTTTAATCAGATATATTCCCTCAATTGCCCTGAGTAAAGGAGAGCATTTTATATTCATTAATGGCAATCTTGAAAGAAAACAGACACTTTTTACAAGTCATTACTTTGTTGAAATCTATTGCAAATAAGCTAATAAATGAGTAAGCTGCTCTGTGATGAATCCTAGCTTTTATGAGCTAGAATTTTGATTTAATGCCATGGCCCACATACTACTAATCAAGGGAGATGAAAGCTGCTGGCTTTCATCCCCTTCTTCTGGAACATCCCATGTCTTAAATCCTGGACCCTGCTGGGATGGGCTGAAAAGGCAGAGCGTGTGTACTTAGGCATGTGGAGGTCATTGTCTCAGAATGCTGCCCTGTTTTTGGTCCTTGTAGCTATGCCCGGGACGCACTGAGAATTCTGCTAAACTGTTCTGGGCTGCAGCAGGTGGATATGAGCCTAAGTGAAAGGTTTTGCTGGAGTCATATTTACCAAGGATACTATTACCACGATGGCGTCAACCTCATTGCCAGGTAAGAATAGAGCTCTGGGTGCAACGCTTGGTCTTTCCATCTGCCCTCAAGTCACACACGTGGGAACACAGGATCTATTTCCATTTTTAAATCTGTCTTAATTCTTTCAATGGCCGTTTGATTTCTGCACCTTTGATGATAGCAAGAAGTTTTATTTGGGAATATTTCCCCTTCTCTTCCTCATTGTCTGATGACCCAGTTACTCTCATGCTACAGAACACAGTTGTCTTTCTGATACACAGCTCAAGGGGAATCCAGAGTTCTTCCCTTCTGGAATTTAGCTCGTTCCTGCTCTGCAGACATCAAATAATTCCATAGTCTTGATTTAAAAGGCCCCGTAGGGGCTGGGGAGATAGCTTGACAGTCTAAGTGCCTGCCTGGCAAGCTCAAGGACCCAGGTTCGATCCCTGCTACCACATGTCATGCCAGCCCTGCGCCAAGCCGGCCACCAAAACTGGACATGGTGGCACACGCCTGTAATCGTGGGATTACAGCACTGGGGAAGCTGAGACAGGAAGATCACTATGAGTCTGAGCTGTATAGTAAGACCCTCTACCAAATAAATAAATAAATATTTTTTTTAAGGGGCCCCGGGAAGGCCCTTTGTTCTTTAACCCAACCAATTTTGGGGACTTGGGGTTTAAAAGGATTTTTATGGTTTTTGTTTTGTTTTTACTGGAAACAGGGGTTTCCTCACTTGTCATTTAGTGAATAGCAAGCTTCTGATTATAGAGACAAAATTTTCTGATTAAGAAATAAGATATGGGGACTTGTCGACATAACATACGAATGTGACATTGTAACTGACCCAGAAAGTGTACTTTATGTGGTCCATGGGTTCTTGGTGTTTTTAAAAATGGCACTTTGCTGAGTGTGTTGGTGCACACCTATAATCTCAGCACTCAGGAGGCTGAAGGAGGAGGATCACAGTGAACTCAAGGTCCATCTGGAAGGCCCAGGATATAGGTCGGCCGCAGAGCACCTGCCTAGCAAGCTGGAGGTCATGAGTTTGATTCCTGATACAAAAAACAAAAAACTAGAGCCAGCCAGATAGCTCAGCAGACTAAAGTGCCTGCTTAGCAGAGCACAGCAGCCGGGGTTCAATCCCCAGCATGCTGTGCCAGCCCCGCCCCCCAGGGGGTGCTGAGACAGTGGATTGAGACTGGACATGGTGACACGTGCCTGTAATCCCAGGGTTTGGGAGGCTCAAAACAGGAGAATCACTACAAGTCCGATCTACATGGTGAGATCCTGTACACCCTGTCCTAAGATACAAAGAAGAAGAAGGAGGAAGAGGAGGAGGAGGCGGAGAAGGAGAAAGAGAAGGAGAAGGAGAAGGAGAAGGAGAAGGAGAAGGAGAAGGAGAAGGAGAAGCTGGTCTGAATAGCAGAGCAAGACCCTGTCTCAAAAAACAAATCAGAAAGTTATCTCATTTGCACTTGTGTTTCCAGAATACAACTTACTGTGTAGAAGTATGGTGCATCTGCACCCTACAAGTGGTCACTAGCCCAGTGTCCACTCTGTACTCAGGACCTTTTGATCTTCTTAACCAAAGTTTGACTTATAGAGTAGCAAAGCCCCACCTGGGGATTGATTCAGCATCTGGCGTTAGCAAGTCCCCAGGGGCTGGTAGGCACATTAACGCTCTCAAACATCAACCTGACGTCTTGAAGTGGAAATTTCAAGTGTGTGTGTGTGTGTGTGTGTGTGTGTGTGTGTGTGTGAGTGATAAACTGGACCTCACAGCCTTTTTTTGTGAGGTGTACATGGTAGTCCCAGACTCTGTTCTTCATTATGCTATTCACAAAAGGAAGAGAGTAAAACCGCAGTGATGACCTGCATGGCTATTGCAAGTTGCCCTTTAAATACTTACTGTCTCTCCAAGGATTGATGGGAGATTGCACCCAAGGAGGGCCTTTTGCTGTGTGGCAAGGGATGGGAGGACAGGAAAGAGAAGTGGCATTAAGGAAAGAAATGTGGAGAGAGGTCCAGGTGTATGTAAGCCCCCAGTGGCTGTGCAGAATTCATAGTAAGGCTAGTTTATCTTCGATTAGGGATACTAGGAGTATCTTTTCTTTTTACTCTTGGAGGTAAAAACTATGAGGATAATGTTCCTCTTTTTTCCCCAGTCCTAAGCATTAAACCTTACCCAGAGCCTTCACACTGAGACCTATCCTGATCCATATGTGTATTTTTTAAATCTTTTATTTAGGGCTGGCTGGATAGCTCAGTGGACTAAGTGCTTGCTTAGGTAAGCACAAGGAACGGAGTTCGAGCCCTGGTTTTTCATGCCATGCCGGCCCTGCCCCCCACCAGGCATGCTGAGCCAGCGATGGAGTCTGGGCGTGGTGGTGTGCACCTGTAATCCCAGCACTAGGGAGGCAGAAATCAGGAGGATCACGCTGAGTCTGGGCTGTGTAGTGAGATCCTGCACACACACAAAAAATCTTTTATTTATTTGGTGCGGGGTCTCACTACACAGCTCAGACTCAGAGTGGTCCTCCTGTCTCAGCCTCCCCAGTGTTGGGATTACAAGCATGTGTCACCACACCTGGTTTTGATGGCCAGCACAGTGCGCCCAGCATTCAAGGGTGATCATAGCACGTGCTACTGGGGATCGAACCCGGGTCTCTGAGCTTGCCCGGCAGGCACTCAGACTGCCACTGCGCTATCTCCCCAGCCTCATATACATAATATCTCACTAAGTTGTCCACACTAGGTTTGAACTTGTAGTGCTCTTGCCTCCGTCACCTAGGGTGTTGGAATTACAGGGGCACACCCTCAAGCCCAGTTCATCTTCTCATCACCCATGTTTTCTGACACAGAACACATTTTCTTCCTTGCTAATTCAGTGCCTCATTCTTCTTTACAGAACGCTCTGTGACTACGACTTCCCACAGTTTCCAGAAACCCTATATTATCTCCACAAGATCTTGGTGCAAGGCCCGAGGAGGTCAGAAGAGCATTTCATCATAGTAACATTCTTCATCAGAGTGAGTTCTAACAGGAAACTCTGAATAACACAATTCTCATTTTCTTTTCTTACCTAAGCTTAACACTATAGCCTCTTGGATATTTGTTTTGACCAAGACTTAAAAGAGAACAACAAAAAAAAAAACCACCTGGAGGTGGGGAAGAGGGATGAGTTACATCTGGGTTATGGAAGAGTTGCCCCTTTAGTTTCCCAGGCATGTGCCTTTCTTTGTTTCTTTCTTCCTTCCTTCCCTCCTTCCTTCCTTCTTTCTGTTGTTCCTTTGTCTGCCCCTCCTTGGCCCTCCCTGTCTCTGTATCTCTCTGGGATTGAACCCAGAGGTTTTGCGCTGAGCTGCATCCCAAGGCCTTTCTTGTTTTGAGACAGAGTCCTGCTAAGTTGACCTGTCTTTCTTTCTTCCTCTTCCTCTTCCTTTCTTTTATCCTTCCATTTTGTTTTTGAAACAGGGCCCACCCGCTCTGGGCCTCTCTTCCCTCCTCACTCCCACGTTTCGGCTGCGCAGACACATCCCGCCCTGTCAGCCAGCAGAACCTCGCACCTCCATACCTCTTTGGGAGTGCTCTCTCCAAACACTTCCTCTAATGTCAACGCTGCTTTCAGGTCCAAATCTAAAAAGCACTTCTTGTTCCATACAGTCTAAATTCAGTACTCCTGCAGATGTTTTTGTGGCAACTTGTAGCTTTTCTTCCCAGTTCTCGACACAATGAACAACTCTGTTTTCTTTCCAGCATCACAGAGTAGTCTCGCTGTGTGGCTCAGTCCCGCTGCTCTGTAAGCCCCGCAAGGTCACCAATTGAGACTGTTCTCTTTACCAGTATGTGCCCACTCACTAGCACAGTGCCTGGGCCAAAGGAGAGTTAACTTTTCACAAAATACCTCATCCAGAAGCTCAGCTATCTGACTATAATCTGAAGAGGAGTGTTATTTACTTATTGAGAAACAGGGTCTGCAACGTACCCCCAAATGACGTTGAACTTACTGTATAGCCCAGGCTGGCCCTGAACTCCTGGTGATCTTCCTGCCTCAGCCTCCAGAGTGCTAGAACTGCAGGCATGGACCACCATCCCTGGCAAAGAGAGTAATTTAAGAGAGTGAGTCCATTTAGTTTCCAACAATAGAAAGAAATTATCAAAATGAGAATAAAGCAAAACATCTTTTACTTATCTGATTACCACTTCCCCCTTCTATGAGCACAGGATTATATGAGGAAAACATGTAAGTACTTGGGAGGTTCGTATGACTCAAGGTCCAATCTCAACTTTTATGATAGACAGAAATCCTGCCTTTTGACCTTTCCACTCATTAACTGTTTTTTGTTTTGCTTTGTTTCAGATTCTAGATAAATTCTGCACAGACCCACTCCCAGAATTATTTTTGGTTTTCTTCAGAAAGTGGATCAGTGATTCCAATCCTGAAATTAGCAAATTAAGCCTTCAGAAAATCTCCCACATGGCCCCAGTTGTCAACAAGGTATGTGGGTGGGATTTGTTTGTGTTGTTGTTTTTTGTACTTTCTAGTAAGGGTCTACAGGGTCTGCAGGGTCTCACTACATAGATAGGACTCGTAATCTGCCTGTGTTCAGCCTCCCAAGAGCTGGGATTATAGGTGTGTGCCACCACGCCCAGTCTCAATCGCCATCTCAGAGTGCCCAGGGGTGCAAGGTCAGTGCAGCACGTGGGGGATAGAACTCCAGTCACTGCATCTGCCTAAGCAGGTGCTTTAATCCACTGAGCTATTTGGCCAGCCGGTGAATGGGATTTGTGTCTGGCAGCACTGTGAGAGCCATGACCCGATGTTTTGATATTGCTCGGTATCTTTATGATAAAGTATTGATTTTTTTTTTTTTAGTTTATATTCAGCTAAAACTATCTCAAAGCCTGATGTTTTTGCAATAAGAAAATTTTTTTTAAACATTTATTTATTTATTGTGTGTGTGTGCGCATGTGTGGCCAGCTCAGCCCACCAGGGGGCGGGGCTGACTGGCATGTGGTGCTGGGGGATTGAACCGCGGTCCCTGTGGTTTGCTAAGCTTGTTCCAAGTAGGTGCTTTAGACCACTGAGCCATCTCGCCAGCCCCGCAATAAGAAAATTTTTGAATGGAAAGTATATAAGTCACTGTAGTGGCTTATTCACCTTCTTTATAATTTTTTCCATAAAATCATCCATTGTGCTCAGAATTCATTCATCACCATGGCCCTACATAAGCACTTTTCTTATAGCCCCCACCATGAGCCATGGGTCAGTTTCCCCCAACCACCCACACACACGCGCCCACTGGTTCCCATCTCCAAGCCCTTGCCTCAGCCTTCTCCGCTTACAACGCTTCCCTCTGTCACCATTTTTCTCTTCCTTCAGAGATCAGCCCAAGGAAAACCTCACTGACTGCTGCTTTCACCTCACCCCTCTCAAGCTCACCCCTCTCAGAGCCATGACAACTTCTTTATGTTGTGTTTTGTATCAGTGACCCTCAGTATGGTTTTTGGCTACAAGTATCAACAGCATCTGTTCACTTAGAAGTGCTGCTGTTGGAACACCGCCTAAAGAGACAGGGATTTTGGACTGGAGACCAATAGTCTGTGTTTTCAAAGGTCCTCAGGTGACTAATGCCAGCTCAAATTGAGAATCAATGTCTTACACTGTTTCCGTACGAATCGTGTGATTACTTCTTGTCTTCCAAAATTCGATTAAATATAGGCACACTTCACATTTTATTTTATTTTATTTATTTATTTTTTTAAACATTTTATTTATTTATTTTTTATTTTATTCGTGTGTGTGTGTTTATTTATTTATGTGTGTGTGTGGCCAGCTCAGC